TCAGCTGACCATACCGAGACGCCGGCAACCACAGCCACTCGGTCTTGGAAGGGTTGAGCCTGAGTCTGTTCCTCCCCATCCAGACCCGTACGGCCTCTTATACATGCTAAATCTTCCATATACCACACTGGTAATAATGTAGATCCATAGATATTGCTCATGTTTGGTCAGTTAAGGCCTTCACCTAAGACTTTGTAGTATTATAAAGGGTAAACTGGTTTACCAGCCTTAGTCACATCCATAGCCCTTGCATCAATTCTGTGCTAATTGTAAGAACAGTACCCAAGTCTGTGTTGGTATATTTTTGCACACATTTTCATGCTTTTCTGGGCCTACTTGGATCTAACGACTATGTTGCATACCAGAAAACCATTGTGTACAGCCTTCCTAGAAGGTAGATGCAGTGTACTGACATATTGTAATGGGCTGTGAGAATAACCTAGGAAGATAACAAGAAGAGCTGCAGTCTAGTTTATGGTCAGACAAAAGATATCTCACCCCACAGAAAGAATGGAAGCATGGAAAGTGCCTCAGAAAGGACCTTCCCTAGTAGTCTAGAAAGTAAAAGTAATGGAGGAGAGAAATACTTTCAAATTTGCAAGATTGATGTCATCCCTTTGAGGTAATCCAATCAAGAAACCAAAACCATGAGTACTATCTTTATCGTAAGATTACAGTAACAGAATCTTGAAATCTTGCAAAATAAAGACTTTTTTTGATAATCCACTTCTAGAGAAAATCCACTCTTATTCCCACCCTTAAAATTATTAGGCTTCACACAATCACAGTTGTAAATCTCAGCTTTTCAGGTATTTATCACTTTATTCAGGAATAAGCTTATTTGATAGAAGGCTTGGGATACCAAAAATACTCCTTTTTTATAAACAAGAAGAACCTAACTGCCTGCCATATTACATAGAAAGCACATCCTATATATAGGTTCTGGTCTAGATCAGGAACCCTAGGCTTTCAATTTTATTTTTTTTCTTCCCGGCATTCTGAGTTTAAATAGATTCTTTGCCTTTCTCTTGAGGGACTTGGGACTTGATGGACTGTGCTGACATCATGAACTTCATGAACCTCTGCACTATAGAAACCCCTGTTTTCTGCTCTTCCAACTTCATCCTTTGTAAAAACTAATCAGAATCCTGAAAACAGGTCAAATGGTGTTGCCAAAACTCTGCTGTATTGCAACCAAATTTTGTTATTATATCTCAAAGTATTGGGAGGCCCAAATAAGAACTACATAAAAAGTGTGCCGACTGTTACAGCTTTTTGCCTTGTTAAATATTTCAAATGCCTGACGGCATTTGAAGGTCGCACACTTAGATTCTGCTTTTGTTGGTGGGGAAGGAAATTAGAGAAATTAATATGATTGGTGATTCCTTTATTATTGTTTAGTTCTCTTCCTCACTTTTTTGAATTGGCAAGTCTTTTGTGAGCAGATCGTGCAATTACCAAGCTCATTCATTATTCAAAGCAATCCCACCACTTTCTCAAGCAATTAATTGCTGGAATGCAGACTGTTCACCAATGATTCATCCTGAAGACTCCAAATGTGAAAATTACAAGCTGTTTTGCACTGGGAATGCGGGTGGTAAAGATGGCAAGAGATATTCAGGATCTAAATTCATATAGAATATATCTCTGCATAGCATTATTGAATGGAACCTAACACTATAATAAACAGCTTCTGCAGAAAGTTTGTTTCTTTGTTTAGTCAGTGTATACAGTGGCCCATGTCGCAACCATGACTCTGGGTGGTTTACAGTGTTAAAAACAATAAAAATATATATATAAATGTAAAACCCATCACAGCTGGAAAAAGAAGAAAA